TTTCCAGTTGGTGAAATAACTGTCCACACATAGTTTGAAAGATTCAAAACTGCTAGACCGGAATATCCAATTTGATTGCTACCTCCATATATTATTATACTCTGATTGTTAGGTAAGAGGGTTGCTGAATGATGAATAATTGAAGGAATGATACCATTCTTTGTTGCTATCTGCAAAAATGTATTTTATTAGAAATTGAGTATATTATTGCAACAAGGACGTATAAAGATGAATTGCTTCATAAACGCACAATATTTGACCATTGATTGGTTTTCGTGTCATATACATCAAGCTTTAAACATTTATATAAGTAAAAAATTTTTAATTAGTAAGTTATTACTGTACTTTTTAAAAATAAACACCGATTAACAATTTTTATTTTAGTTAATCAAAAATTATTTTTTCATAATAATTTTCATAATAATATATATTACAGTATTTCCTACCTTTCCTACATCTGAACTAGTGGCACCGCCAATCATAATTATTCGTCCATCAGGCACAAAAGTTGCTGTATGAAGGCAACGACCATTAGGTTGTTGATGCGAAGGATTTGAAGTCCAAATGGATAGTGCAATATCAAATATATACATAGTTCCATCATTTTGAGTGGAATTAAGACTTGTATAATTCATGACCAGGCCTATTTCTTTGACACCTCCCCAAACATATATTTTCTCATTTATATGATCAATTACAGAAGTATGCCATTTTCTTGAAGGTGGAGTTGAAGGTGTGTCTGGAATATATGAAATTACAGGATCCGTTGAAAGTGATTGAATTTGGAAAAATTCAACAAGTGGAGTTTTTGTATCAGCACCAATAATAAAATCACCACCAAAAACGTATATTTTATTCGCATGGGAAACAGCAGTAGCACTAGTCCTTGTGTCTAAACTTTTTATAAATTGAAATTGAGGAGAAAAGCTAGAAAGTGGTTGCGTTAGGTCAATATAAAAAAAGTCATTAAATCTGGTGATTCCATCATCATATCCACCATAATAATATATTTTATCAGATACAAGTGCAGACATAAATTCAGTTCTCCCAGCTGGATTGTAAGGTGCACTTTCAACGCATACAGGAATTAAGATTATTAGATAAGTGAGTATTAGAAACCATGATGTATACATCTGGAGATAGATGTTGGATATTAAAAACATTTGAAGTTTTTTGCTTGATAAATATTTTTAATGAAATTATTACGTAATTTCAGAAAGTTTCTAATTGAGTACTTAAAAATTTTATTTAGGTTCTTTCTAACTTTCAAAGTCGAAAAACGAAATTTTTAATTGTTCTAACTTTAAAAGTCAAAAAATGAAATTCTTATGTATGGTTCTAACTTTTAAAGTCAAAAAACAAATTATCATTTGCGTTTCTAATTTTATAAAATCGACAAACTTTCGGATTTGTTAATACAATTGCTACGTATGATAAAATAGAATTACAATCGATGCAGTCTAACTGCATGCCATCCGCATACGTAGAATTTTTTATGTATTTAGGACATTATATGCATTTAGGTTATTAAGGTCCATCTTTGTTTAATGAATAAAAACCAAAATTTTTTATGTATTTAGAGTACGTACGCATATGCATTTAGAGTACTTATATGCAATTAGACAGTATCGACTGTAATATATCACTTTATTTTGAAATAAGTGGGATTCAAAAATTCTTATGTTTCAAACTTTAAATCAGAAAACGAAACAGAATTCTATTTACGTATAAATTTTATAAACTTTTAGTTTTAATGACGCTTTTGTTAATATTTTTTTTCTACAATCGTTTGAAATTTGTAGAACATCAAAAATTTCCATTAGGAGGTTTCAAAATTAACAAATAAGTAACTCATTTCGAAAATATGTAGGATTTTAGTATTTTTACTATGTTGAATTATAAATCGGAAAAATAAGATAAGATTCTCTGATTTTAATTTTGAAACCTCCTATTAGACTAAATCTTAAGACTTATCGTGAAAATAACATTATCGTGGCACTAACGCCAAATGCGAATAATTATCTTTAAGCGCTAACTAACATAAAATTAAATTCCTAATAAAGCTAAACCGTTTCATATTTGAAGATAATAAATGTATTTTAAAAT